ACGACCGGCTTTGGCTGCATTAATGAGACATTGCACAAAGAACGAGAAGCTACGGATCGACCGATGTGGCGTTGATGCCAATTATCGATTATCAAGAAAGGCCGATAACTGATACACCTTAAAAGTAATGTTGTGACAGCAGGAAGCTGTCGTTCATAACTGGGCCTCTTCATCAATAAGCTGACTGTGACTGAATATGTCAAACAGAGACAGGAGAGATGAAATGATCTCCTCTGTTTATGTGACTGATCAGTTTGTCTCCTGATCAATCATCTCTGTGTTCTTCATCCTTCTCTGTCCCATCACTGTTATTATCTATAAGGTCCACATCCTACAGCGTTATCGATTCCTGTCTTCCGGTTAATCTGTAGCTGCCTGCTAACTTAGCCGCTAGCCGTTAGCATAGCATTAGCCACTATGAGAGAAGATAACTTCCTGTTTTGTGTTTCTTGTTCAGTTTTTCTGCTTGAGAGACATTTCTGAGAGAGAGGAGCTGCATGAGACCCTACTGCCACGTTTAGTTAATCAATAATCGATCAGTAAAAATACCCATAATCAGACAAAAGCCCCAGTAGAGCGATGACCAGTCTGTCCCTACAGGACAGTCTCCCCGTCGTCATGTGGCCTCTGCTGCTGGACGTGGTGGAGCTGCTCCGTCAGAAACCTGAGCTCTGGTGACACGCAGCCAGAAACCAGACACTCTGCAGAGGCACCGGAGTACCGGCGCTCCTCGTCCTCCCGCCTCCTTCCTCCAACTCCTTTATTCTTCCTCCTCCTCTGCCAGAGTTCAGATGTCAACATTTCTTTCACCGAACCACTCGGGTGTCTGACTTCTGAGGTCAAACGCTGAGCGAGAATTAAAATGTGAAGCGACGCTGCTCCAGCATTCAGGCTGCACGTCTTTGAGCTGTGTTTGAGGTTGATGCAACATGTATTGTCCCTCCAGCGACGGTGACTTTACATGTGCTGCCAACAACATGGCATCAGTATTAAGCAGCATGTGAGCCGCCGTGACTGCAGCGCTTCATTGTCCAGAGAGAATTTAATCTCAGGGCTCCGTCGATGCTCCGTGGACACAATGGCCAATGATCAGATGGCATCAGGCCCACTTTACATAATCCAGGCATGTTGGCATGCTGTGTCAGGTGGCCCTCACCGACGCCAGGATTATTTTGTCCACAGTCAGAAACGGCGGAGGAACCGTGGGCCTGTTTGCATGCTGCCAGCAAAATGTTGTTTTCAGAATCCGCCCGCAGGGAGGAGGCAGCTTTCTGTTTCTGCACATGTTGGGTGCTGCTGACTTCTCTCTCAGACTTCATTCTGTTTCATTAGAGGCACGACGCCACTGGCTGAAGAATCCATCATATTTTTTTAATGCTAAATCTGTTGCAATCAAGCGCTGATGCTGAGTTTCTGCCTCTTTACAAACACAGATGACCTATTTATCTGATGGTGGATTGTTTTATCGCTATAGGAGGAGAGAGCGGAACATGTTTGGCTGGAGGCGAAGGAGAACTGATTTAAATCACTTGTTGGTGATGCTCAGAGCTCACGCTGACACAGAAACCACAGCTCCAGTCAGACAGAACGTCACAATGATAACTGTGTTCCTGATGACTTTCCTTCATCATGAACTGTACATTTTGACATCTGACTGTGACTCAGGCTCTGCCAACATGCTGAATGGTGATATGACTTGTGTTTGAGCTCTATCAGCGCTGCGATAGTGGAGCTGCAGCCCCGGCCTGAGCAAACAGCGCTGCACGTCGGTGTGGCTTTGTTAGCTCATGGCGGTGCATTGCTTTAGGTGTTATCCTTATCATGACACACTTTTGCCCTCATACGTCGGTCGATGCAGCGCACCTGTTGCCCGGCAACGTTGGTGGCAACCGCGGCAACAATAAACAAACAAGTGTGAATCACTGGAAGCAGTCGGTGACGTCGCTGCAGCGCCGACATTTTTATACAACCAGTGACATGAAACATTCTCAGTTATGTCACATTAGATAAAATCACTCGACGTATGTGACGTGCAAATAAACCCGTCTGTCTGGTGCTGGACGGACGCCACGCCTGCTGACATTTTTAGGATGGTTCCTATTGTACGACGAGGGGACTTTAAGGTCATACGTGTGAGACCTGAGCCGTTGGTTTCTCCATTTGAAGATAAGATTAGATAAACCTTTATTTATTGAGGAAATTCTTGTGCCAGGCTCAGAAAAAAAAATAAATAAATGACACAACGTGAGAAATGCAGTGAAAGAAGAAAAGCAATAAGATATAAGTGTGGTATACGAGTGGAATTAAATGAGAAAATAAGACTAGAAGAGAAGAGAAGAGTAAAAAGTAATGCCGGCAGTGATAACGAGGTAATAATTAACATCACACGATAGTGAAATATTACACATTAATCTGATGTTTCACAAACTGTTGTGAAAAATAAAATTGCGAATAAGATGCAGTAACATAAAGCCTTATTAATCCTGAAGAAATGCAGTGCAGAGAAAGTAAAAACGCAATAAAAACTAAAACCAGTAGTTGAATCAGGCAGTGAAAGGTGATGCTGGGATGATACTGAGCTGAAAAAGCAACATTACAATGTTAGAGTGAAATATTGCACCTGAGAAATACAGAAATCAAATATTGCACATGAAATAAAACGCTGCACCTGATGCAGAAACCCAGACTGAGAAAAGTCAAGATGCAAATGATATTCCTGTTCAGATCAGCTTGTGATGTTTCAGCTGTTGTTGCTGCAGAAAGGGGCGGAGCTACACCGTTTCATGGCCGCTAGAAAAATAAAACGTCTGATCTACTTGACCTGAACATCTTGTGGTCCGTGGACATTTGCTTCTACTCTCATGTCCGTTCTCCTCTCTGGCTGTATCCAGCATTTAAATACACTCATCGTTCCTTTTCTTACACTTTAATGTACATTTTTCTTCCTCACTCTTAAACACAGGCTACAAGGAGGCTCGGTGGTTAGCATCGTGGCCTCGCAGCTAGAAGGTCGCCGGTTTGTGTCCCGGTGAGGACACCCGGGATCTTCCTGCGTGGAGTCTCCATGTTCTCCCCGTGCAGCGTGGGTTCTCTCCGGGTTCTCCGGCTTCCTCCCACAGTCCAGAAACATGCTGAGGTTAATTGGTGATTGTAAATTGTCCGTAGGTGTGAATGTGAGTGTGCTTGGTTGTCTGTCTCTAAGTGTAGCCCTGTGATAGACTGGTTACCTGTCCAGGTGAACCTGCCTTCACCCTGAGTCAGCTGGGATAGGCTCCGCCCCCCATGACCCTGGTGAGGATTAAGGTGTAGAGATGATGGATGGATGGACTCTTAAACACTGTTTGGGTTCCTGTCTTTCACCCTCCTCCAGCCTGTCCAGGACAGACTTATTGGGCCGATGTGGTCTGTGTGAGGCGAGGCAGGTGAGGCGTGGACGGATGGAGCAGGGCAGGTGAGGCGTGGATGGACGGAGCAGGGCAGGTGAGGCGTGGATGGACGGAGCAGGGCAGGGCCTGTTTACCGACTGATGACTGTTCAGCTCATGATGATGCATCACGCTGCCAGCTCACTGAATGGATTTGCGCAGTACATCCTTACGCGTCACGTCTTTTTTTTTTTTCCCCTCTGATGGAGTTCTGCTAAAGATCGATGGTTTATCTTGTGGAAAGCTGCCGTGCGGCTCCTGTCGTCGCTCCATGTGTTGAAATGTGGCTCCACAGCTGCTTGTGTAATGCTGTTGATTCAGTGACGGTCCGGGTCTTACAGCACACAAAGTGGAGCTGTTTGAGCACTCTGCGTCTGCACAACGGAAAGTGTGTGTTTAAAGATGTCTCAAGGTTGCATCATCATTAACACGACTGTGAGCGTACAGCTGCACCCGCTGGCTGCTGCTACATGGGAAACAGCCCGCGCCCTTGGGAAAGAGACATAGCATGCAGTGTGAAGCCTCTGTTCTGGGGATCTGCATCCTGCTTCCACACGGACACGTCACGTCTCCTACAGCATGCTGCACACACACAGTTTGTATGAAGCAAGACTCGCAGAAGACACAATGCAGATTCTGTGAGCAGCAGGTTGGAGCTTCTTCCTCCTCCAGCACTAGAGCGACCCTCCATCTGTGCAAAGACGACTGATCAGAAGCCCAGACAGACTTCTGCACACACACACTGTTCCTCCGCCACTCATCTGAGGGCTGGTGGTCGTGGAAGCAGTAAACACAAACACATGCAGAGGCCTGGTCAGTGTGTGAGCAGCAGACACACAACATTCTGGCTCAGAAACACATTTAGTGGTGAAAATGTGAATAATTAGCTCTTTACATAAATGCTTACTGTAAGTTTTTGTGACTTGAGACGAGGTGACTGATTCAGTCCATGTTTTCCTGCTTTGTTTTTCTTCTTATTGTTTGTGTCTAAATCTAAAAAGCACCTCGTAGCTAAAAATGTCAAATACTCACGTACTAAAGTGAATGAATTCATGAGTGTGGGTGAAACCCTGAAACGTGTGAACGACTGCGTGATTCTGACGGTTCTTGTGTGCCGCATTCTGCAGGTCAGTAGGACGTTTTATTTATGAGCTTCCACGTAACGATTTGCTCCGTAATCCTAATTTGATTGCTTCTGAGAGCAGCGTTCAAAGGCAGGAGGTTATAATTTGTGGCTTCCTGCCATCTGAGCTCTTTTGATTAACCGAGCAGCGGGCCGTCCAGTTTTTCTGGTTCAGGCACATGTGTGCACATTTTCCATTCTGTGAAGGAAGTCCTCTACTGGTGGCATGTAATGGTTTTTGTGGCTGATGGATCGTCTCATTCATCCAGTGTTTACTGTACATTGTGCTCAGTGTTGTCAGTGTTGCACAACGTCCTGACGTGAGCTCGTCTCTTCTGCACAGCAAAGACTGAAAAAGCAAACAAAGCCTCACAATGGGATCACTGCTGTCCTGTTGTCTGCTGACATCAGCCTGCACATTCATCGTCCTCTCCTCTTCTTTCTGCCTGCCAGGTGTCGTGCTGATGGAGATCTCCGAGGTCCACAGGAAAGTGCATCTGGAGCTGGAGGAAAATGTGAGTTGTATGTTCTTCCTGCAAACTCCTGTGTCATCTAGAGACCGTCCCTCTGAGCCTGTCGCTCGCTGAGTTCCCAGGCGGCCACGAGTCGACCCTCAGGTTACAGAGCAGCATCCAGCGGCAGACGGTCGGTCAGCAGTCGCCTCCCTCTCAGCTACGTCAGCCGACATCATGACAACACCAAATATATAGCGGCTGAATGAGGAGACGGCAGGTGTAGATGGTAGCAGCACCTGTGGTTTGATTTCCTGGCTGAGAACAGGCAGGTCTCGACATGTCCTGGAAAATACCAGCTGGAGCCGTTAGATTGGGTTTATTAGTCAGCCACCCAGCACCGCTGGAGGACTGCAAACACAGACTGTTTTCATTCCTTTTGTATTCTGTTTTTCATGCATTTTTGTAAATCTGTAGAAATATAGAAAATACAAATGTTCACTCGACGTTTCCAGAGAAATCTGTCGTCCTGCAGTTTTTTTGTTGGAACCCAGAAGGGACATAAACCCATGAAGACACATCTTTGACTTCTCTATGTGCTCCTTTTCCCACCATATTTAATTCATGTTCTGCGTTCTTGCCTACTTTGCAAAGCGTCTTTGAGTGTCTTGAAAAGCACTATTATGTGTTATGTTTATTTTTATTAGAAAAAGCTGCCAAGTGTCACACAGGAGAAGAAATGTTAGGAACAGTACCGACACTCGTTTTCTGTCCATCGGTTCACCGGCACACAGACGATCATCCAACTCTTGTCTTGTTTAAGTACTTTCAGAGGATCATTACACGGAAACCACAGGATTATTTTCATAAAATTTTGCCCAGGTTTTGAGCTCGGGAAATAAATAATAGGCGAGTTTGAAAATAACCTGTTGGAGCTGAACTGTGGGGCAGGAAGGCAGCGAGGCGCTCCTCTGAGACGCTGCTGCTAACAGCATCAGTGGGTGGCTTGACTTGTTAATGGACTCCGTTTGTGAGTCACCGCATCAATTCAGGTCAGAGAAAATGAGGGAAGAAAAGCTCTGAGTGACTCCAGTGATGCTGTGAGTTGAGCACGACGGCCATCGCTGTGTGCTCGGTAATGGGGTCTTTGAATCATTGATCCGCCCCACGTGGGCGCAGACGCTGCATCGCGACCAGGCGGCGATGAGGGGAGCTCTGACACCCTCACACTAATGAGAGCGCTGCAGAGAAGACCGTGGGCATTTCCACGCTTTGTTTCTGACTCATTCATAAGCGCAACCTTGGACTCGGCTCTCACCCCCGCACCAACACACTCTAAATGATCGCTCTCCATGTTTCTCTGTGAGCTCTCCGTCCTCCTTCAGCTTTGTAATCATGTCTTCCTCCCCTCTCCTCTTCCTCACCTGAAGCTCAAGAGGTTCCACAGGGACATCATAGCCGAGCTGGAGAGGAAGACGGACATGGATGTCAAATACATGACGGTGCGTTGTGTGTGTGTGTGTGTGTGTGTGTGTGTGTCACTGGTTTATTGTTTGTTGTTTATTGTTTATTGTTTGTTTTCGTTGTGTTTGTTCACATTCGGAGCAGAAAGCTTCAGTGTGAAACATCCAGACCAGGGATCTCCAGCTCCGGTCCTCGTCAGCTCCTGTCCTGCAGGTTCTAGACGTTTCTGCAACACACCTGACTCACATGAATGGATCATCAACAGACTTGACAAACTTTTTGCCTTTGTTAGCCAGGATAGTGACTAGAGAGGGAGGAGGGAGGGAGGAGGACCTGCAACAAAGGGTTGTGAGCCGGACTCGAACCCACAGCCGCTGCATCAGGGACTATAGCCCCTGTTCATGGGTCGCCCGCTCAACTCGGTGAGCTGTAGGCGCCCCAGACTTAACAAACTTGACAACAAGCTGCTGCAGATCCATTAATGTGAGTCAGGTGTGTTGCAGTACGGAAACGTCTAAAACCTGCAGGACAGCAGCTCACGAGGACCAGAGCTGGAGGTCCCTGGTTTAGACTCTACAGTTCGGCCGGTAAACAGGATGGACGTTCTGGTCACTGAATGACTGAGCTGTAGGTTCCTGTCATTGTCAGTCCTGTTAATTGATTTAATGAGAGTTGTTTGTGACACATAAGGCAATGAAAGCTTCCCTACAGCTGGCGACCAAACACAGTCTACAAGACAGTAAACCAACAACAACAACAACAACAACAACAACAACAACAACAGAAGAACACACGTTTTTTAATGGATGTCAGCGTGGTGCATCCTGTTGATGCTTCAGCGAGTCGTCTGACACAAACCTCGCTGTCGTGTTAGAAATAACACTCATGATGAGGTTATTACTAAAAATCTAGTGATAAAATATCAGCTGTAAATGAAATGACTTTAAAAGCAGTGATGTGTGTTTTTAGAGGTGAACAGGCTGCATCATATGAACAAATATATCTGACAAATATAATCAGGTTGACATGAGTCCTCTGTCTGATCCAGGCCACGTTCAAGAGGTACCAGATGGAGCACAAGGTGAAGCAGGACTCTCTGGAGAGGTCGCAGTCGGACCTGAAGAAGCTGAGGAGGAAGAGCCAAGGCAAGAACGCCAACAAGTACGAGAACAAGGAAAGCGAGGTGAGATGGAGGAAGAGCCGCCTCCAGACGCATCAGATGCTCCGTCTTTGACTCACACAGGCGTGTTCGTATGTGCGTAATTACACGGACGTTCATTCACACGCGCCGACACCGGAGACGCAGCGTGTCAGAGCCGCTGTAACAGTAGTTGGGGACAGTGTGTGAAGTGTCGCTGTGTGCAGTCATGCAGGGGACGATCCCGGTTTGTTGTCGGCTTCTTTTGTCCACTGCCATGAATGCGCCGGCGTGCAGGCCTCCGTCGCAGCGCCTCGCCTGCATGTTCAGACAAACAGAGATGTGAGAGTTCATGGTGCTGGAGAGATTCAAACTGCTGCCGGACACATTTCTGCTCAGACGGTCTGAACAGGTTTCACAGCAGGAGTATAAAATGCTACCAATAGCATTCATAGGAACACGTTTCTGTCGTGTCAGATACTTTAACAGATGTGTTCATGTGTTTGTTTCATGCAGAACTTTTGCTTTTCTGTTAACATTCCTTCTTTTGTACCTTTCCTGGCTCTGCAGTGGTCATCATCGGTCCTTCAGACTTTACTTCTTTACTGCAGTTTTCATACAGATGAGATGCAACACAAAGCGCTGGACAGGAGGAATGAATGAAAATGAATTAGAACAAAACAAACAACCCCCCAACGTTATAAATGATGAAGGACCCAAAAACATGAAGGAACTAAGAAAGCACCAGATAATAAAATAAATAAAATATCTGCTATTCAAATACAGATATATAGACATGGGAAGAGCAAAACAGAAATCGGAATTAATAAGAAAATAAGAAACAAGAAGTAATAAATGACACATTTAATCAACTAAAATATGTCAATAAGGGAGCAAATACAGAAATCAATAAATAAAACTAATCTGAAGAAGAGGAACAAACAGATCAGTCCGTCTGTCAGACTGCTGGTGAAACGCGTCAACGTGGTCTGTTTGGGACTAAAGGCTGCCGGGACGCGTCACGGCGACCGCAGGTGACTCACCTGAGCTGTGATCCACCTGGACCAGGTGAAGCATCACAGCAGGTCCACGCTGTCATTACACCACAGCCCAGCTGTGACTGTGCACGGCTGATGAGTTTATCATCTCAAAGTGTGTGTGTGTGTGTGTGTGTGTGTGTGTGTGTGAGTGTGTTTGTGTGTGTGTGTGAGTGTGTGTGTGTGTGAGTGTGTTTGTGTGTGTGTGTGAGTGTGTGTAGGTGTGTGAGTGTGTGTTTGTGTGTTTGTGTTTGTGTTTGTGAGTGTGAGTGTGTGTGTGTAAGTGTGTGTGTGTGTGTAGGTGTGTGTAGGTGTGTGTGTAGGTGTAGGTGTTTGTGTGTAGGTGTGTAGGTGTGTGTGTTTGTGTGTGTGCTCTGTCAACACGTCTACCTCAGGCTGCCCGGCTGCACAAACACAGTTAAATGAGAGAGAACGAGACGCCCCAACACGACTGGATTAGCATAAACACTTTACCTTCCAGCTCTAATGAGGCTTAAGTCATCACCACCAACAACCATTTACTGAATAATGTCAAAAAGAGCAGCGAGAAACAAGCAGCTTGAACCTCAGAGCTTTAGTGAAACCAAGCCTGCTTGTGTTTGTCATGGAGAGAATCACAGGAGCCTGAACATCCTCAGGTTTGGGATGAAAACAAGACACCTGATCAGATCCCTGAGCTCAGTGAACACAGTTTATGCTCTAAACCATGTGGAGGTCAGTGACAGCTCCAGATGTGTTTGCTGTTACATGAATTAGAGCAACAGAGGATCAGAGAACAGCTTCTGTTGCATGAACAGGGTTGTGAGAACACGACTTTCTTCCTCCAGTCTTCTCTTGTTTCTGTCGTTGTTTTGTTTTCTCTGAACTCTCTCCATCGCTCTCTCCCTCTTTCACCTTCTTTTTACTTCCTCTTCCCTCTCACCTCCCTCCTCCCCCGCTGATCTGGTGTTATCCAGGTATTAGACTGTGGCGGCGCTGGGCCGGGCCAACAAACAGCCAGACAGGGTGTCAGGGTTGAGACAGCAGCAGATGATTCACCAAAGACTCTTCAAAGCCAGAGAACGATCCGACAGAAGACGGAGTGAAAAACATTTAAAGAAAGTGGGAGCGTGTCACACCCGTCAAACAGCTGATTCAAAGACTGAGAGCTGGACTCTGTGTGCTCAAGGTCAGCAGAGACTGAGGTGTGCAGCAAAGACTGTTGCACGTCTACGAGGGAAACGGAGATTTCTCTTTAGAGTTTCTATTACCTGTGCAGATAAACACAGGTTGTCCATAGCAACAGGCTGGCTGAGATGTTGACAGATGTAACGTGATTAAGAGGGTGTGTGTGTGTGTGTGTGTGTATGTGTGGAAACAGCTTTCACACTCCCCCTTTATCCCTCATCCACTCAGAACCGCCCACTTCCACGGTTATGGAACAATGCTCGTTCTCCGTCTGTTTCTCTCTTCCTCTGCATTTAATTATCATCGTTACTGAGATTCGACAGCAGTTGTGCAGAGATGGCTGCATGTGGTCCTGGAGCTGACTGATAACGCTGCGGTGAAGACATACATGTGGAAGGCAGCTTGTGTCGCGTTTAGAACACGCTATGTACACGTTAGATTACATCTGTAGTGATGTAATACGGCAAATATTCTCCCATTTTCCAAGTTCCTTCATATAAATGTGAGAAAAGCGGAGCGGGGATCGTCGCCTTGCTCGACTTTTATTTGTTTATTTGATCAGGGACCAGGCATTTTTAGAAAACATCTGACGTGTTGCGTATCGAGTGTTTAGCATGAAGCTGATTTTCAGCTCCCGTCCCTGGTCGGGCTTTTCAGAAACACAGACAAAGGATCAACAACACCAATAAAAACAGCACAGCTTGTAAAATATGATTATATGACAAATTACGCTGCAGACTTATAATTGTTAGATGTGAAAATGATGAAGTCGGTGTGTTTTAGCGTCGATCCAACCGTCTGCTCGTTAAGGTCTATGGACGGAGAGTTTCTCTGCAGTCAGATCTGATCTCCATCAGGTTCTTACTGGACACTGATTAGTGAAAACCACTGCAGTAAAATGTGCCCTTACTGGGATGATTTGGTGAGACCAGAGGTAGAGACGGGACTGGACAGGAACCAGGAGAAGAGCTCTGTCTCTGCTGATATCTGTGGAGGTCTGCATGCTTCAGAAGTTTGCATCTGTTTGCTTGTTGAAGCCACAAAGGTTTCCCTGTTATCACAGCGTCGGTACGGAGGGAAATATCAGCTGATCGATGGTTTATGTCTTTATGGCGTTAAACAGACATAAACTAATACTTCCTGTGTGCTGCATTACACAGATACTGGATGTCATGTAAAAATGTGGATATTTAGGAGGTAGATCTCCTGGTAGAAAACATGATGGGAGCATTTTGTTTTTATGCAAATAGTCCTGCAGTGTTGTTTTCTGGGTATTTTTAAAGCTGTGAAGGCGTATTACTCTGGGTGTTCAGCACACAGCGGACCACTGGAGGCCCTGTGTGCTGAAAGTCCATTCATGTTGGCTTTTGTGTGTCTTAGAAACTTGGAGACACAAAATGAAAGCGTTGAGAAGTGAAAGACCAAAGCTGCTCTCGTTTAGATAATTCCCTGTTTCTGTTGTCAGAACGAGTATGAAACAGTCATGAGTTCGTTTCATGGTCGTGTTCGAGCTGCTGAAACACACGTCTTAGTCGTGTTGACCAACAAACTCACCGCATACAAAAGTTAAAAAAGAACGGCTGTGATTCAGGTGATATTTCCATTTTAAATGATCCCTCAGAGAAAAGGTTAGAAGACCAGGAAGTCCTGGTTTCACACATTCGTTCATTTGTTCTGCTGTAACACCAGATGTTTGGCAGAGAGAGTCTCCTTCCTGAAACCACCGTGGACATCAGAACTGGGCTAAAACCAGGAGTTATACTGGGTTGTAGACTTTCATTAATTTGCTGGAAAGATGGAAAACATGGGACCTTTTAAATGAAGCATGTACGTCTGGAGCTATTCTGACAACAACACTTTCTGGTGGAGCGTGGTTCTGGGAACAGGATGATGATTCTGGGAAAAGCACCGAAGCCGCTGCAGCTTCCTGGTTCCTGCAGCTCTGAGCCATTCAAGGATCTGTCAGACGGTTTTAGGAGCTGAATAGAAAGGGTGTGCTCATTGTATTAGCAGCCGTTATGGGCGTGCCGATGCCAGCTAGTTGGATGAGGACAGCGAGACACGGAGCTCACGGGCGGCTCTGACAAGAAACCAGCGAGCGAAGGTGGCGTAGAAAGAAGCTGTTGACAGTTTCTCAGTTAGTAAATAGTGACGTCAGCGTCTCTGAGGTCCCTGTAATGACTCTACTCTGACATTATACGACAGATTGTGGCTCTCTCTGAAACCTGCTCCATAATTAAAGTGTTAAAGTTTTCTTCGTCCTCATGCAGCAGCTTAAATACAGCAAGTGTCACATAAGAAGCATTTATTTCTGAACATGCCCTTCATCAGCTTCACTTGGGAATCACTTCTTTGTTTGCAGTTCTGATTTCATGATAAAATACTTGCATCAAATAAATGTTCAGTTGAGGCGATTGTTGGTTTTTAGGAGCTGCAGCTGAATATTTAGATTCTCTGTAGTTCTCCTAGAATCTGTGTCATGTTGTTATTTCTCTAGTTAGGGACAAATCTGTGCAATATTAATACTTCTCTGTCAGTATTTCTACTCATGAAAGAACCTGTGCAATACTGTTGCTTCCATTCAGAGGAATTTATTTACGTCACGGACACACATCAGGTCCTTACAGCAGCTTTATGACCTCAGGCTGGCCGTGCCGATAAGGCAGACCCTCTCCATTTTCATGGCACTGCTCTGTCCTTTCACTGAACGCCAAACACAAGCCTGTAAACTAATGATGCCTGCTCCCCTGCATGCCGGAGATTAGGGTGTTCAGAAAGGAGGCCTGCAGCTCGCCCTGGTCGGGTGTAGATCAGGAGTGAAAGGGCTGCAGATGTGTGCACGACGAGATAAGACGGTGGATCTATTCGGTGTTTAGAGCTGTTGATTCAGAGCAGAAACCTTTGCACACATCATGTGGACGCTCTGTTTTAAATCACCTGTATCTGTGACTGCATGTCGTCAGTGCCTGGAAATCCTGACCAACCGACAGATGGACATGCAGCTGTTCATCGCAGACGGCTGCAAGGAGGCTCTGCTGGAGGAGAAGAGGCGCTTCTGTTTCCTGGTGGACAAACACTGCATGTTCTCCTACCAGATCGCCTCCTTCCACGACAAGGTACGACTCTGCTGCTGCTGCTGCTGCTGTGGGAATCAGGCAGCCCAGCTTTGTGCTCATGTTGGCCTAAACAAAGCTAAATGACGAAGACAAACCCGGAGAGTTTCAGCGCTCGACCTTGAATCTTATTACAATCCACAGAAAATGACTTCAACATTTTCTCCAGAACAATTTATTCAAAACCCACAATGTATCACGTTACCATAGTGACAGAAATGTGAGCGCTGCTTCCACTGTTTACTCATGTGTTCTTTTAATATCTCTTCTTATTTCCACGGCTGCTGGACAGGCCAGAGACATCCTGACGGCCAAGCTGAGCAGCTGGCAGGACCAGTGCAACGACGCCACCAACATGCCCGACAGCGTTCTGTCCATGATCGAGGGGCTGCGGACGCCGGTGTCCATCACACCGCTGCCCTCTCCGTCGCCGTCCCGACACAGCGTGGTAAAGAAAAAGGGACAGTCAGCGCAGTTATAGCGCTGCACATGTTCTGTTTTCTGTATATGACGAGCTAGAAAACAACATGATGGAAACCTAATGATGAGTGCAGGACTTCCTGTGTCGCTCTGCATATTTAAAGATGGCACAATGTGCTATAGAAACACAAGTACACGCTGAATATTTAATGACTCCTCCAGCTCTGGGACAGTTCACACATCTCTGTTTATCTATTTTTGGGCTTCAGTTTGTTCTGTTTAAACACCAGTTCTGGTTTCACGCCCACACAGTTGTCATGTTGCTGAATTGATCCTGAACTCTCCTGTTGCAGAACATCTCTGCTCCTCCAGCTCCACCCCTGAAGGCCCAGACCAGCCCTCTGGCCAACATGTTCACCCAGGAGACCAGCACCAGCAGCGTGACCGCTTCGACCAACAACAGCACAGGTACATGGCTTCAATCAGCACCTCAGTCTGATGCTTCAGGAGGAGTTCAAGAAGCTGCACTGTCTAAACATGCAAATGCACTTTATCATGTTCAGAACAATAACATCAGCTGCTCCTGGGTGTCTCTTCTGTCTTTGCACTTGTGCTGCTCTCCCATCCTCACACAAACGCATCCTGTGGTTCCAGCTTGTCCACTCGATGGGTTCTCGGGAGGTTTTGTGCAAACGTTCATGGTTCCCAGAGAATGAATCCACTTCAGTGACCTTGTTCTTAGTTTTAGACCCTTAGTTTAGTTTATTTGCTCACAATTAAAAGTAACCAGAGTTAGCTAGCAGCAAATTTGTTAATGTGTTGGACGGTACAGAAAAACAGGACAGCCACAGTAACACAACAAACACACTTTTAAACAATACAGAACCTAAAAGTCCATCAGTGTGAGATAATAAATGTAATTAGTAAGACAATAAATAAAGGTCATCGTTAGTGGGGACAGGTTTGTGCCGCCTTCAGCCAAACAAGAGGCTGGTTTTAAATCTTTAATGTTTTTTAGCTTTAGCTGAGACAGCAGATGTCTTTCTGACCTCTGGAGACGCTCCGGTCCTGCCTGGGTGGGTCGGATGCTCCTGTCCTGCCGGGGTGGGTCGGATGCTCACCTGCCTGGGTGGGTCGGATGCTCCGGTCCTGCCGGGGTGGGTCGGATGCTCCGGTCCTGCCTGGGTGGGTCGGATGCTCCGGTCCTGCCTGGGTGGGTCGGATGCTCCGGTCCTGCTCCGGTCCTGCCCGGGTGGGTCAGAGGAGGAGGTGCAAGATTAAGAATGCATTTAAACATCAGGCTGCCTCAGAGCTAAATAAGAAATCTTCTGAACTTGTTTTATGCTCTGCCGTTTCCCCCCCAGACCACGGGAACGGCGATGACGGCGGTCTGGCCCGGTCGGTGTCCGTCGCCACGGGCCTCAACAACATAGTGAAGAGGCCTCGCGTCCGCACCATCTTCCCCCACACCGCCGGCAGCAACAACACGCTGCTCAGCTTCGACGAGGGAGACGTCATCGTGCTGCTCATCCCCGATGAGAGGGACGGGTGGATGTACGGGGAGCTGGAGAAGAACGGAAAGTGAGTCTGGTCTGGAACAGACACGTGATAGGAGAAGATCTAATCCCGCCCCGCGCTGTAAGGACTCAGCAGAACTCTGTCAGCATCACCTGGTCCCTCCTTACTGTATGTCTGACTCTGCTGTCGTCACCTCCTGCCTCGCCTTGACATCTGGTGCAGATTCTCACCGCCGTCGTCCCTGGAGTCACATGATGAGCACGGGTCGGTCCGAACTGTCCAGACAGTCCCTGGCCTGATTGTTAGGCTGACCGTGTCCGTGCACACACACAGCTTTAGCCTTGTCAAGTGCTGCCTGAGCTGAGCAGCTCACAGATAAGGAAATCAAAGTAAAGTATGGCCTGAGGGTGGGATGTACTGTAGCGGGCTGGAGAGAGGTTCAGAGCAGCACCTGCTCCCCCACACAGACCCTCCCCCCGAGGCCTCTGATGTTGGACTTTTTAAACAGGGATTTGATCTGAAGCCCTTGGAAGAGTGTTTTTGAATTTTAATCATTCATCAGGTTTGATCTTTATTGCTATCAGGGGAAATTACCTGACAAATATATCCCCCCGAAAAATTGATCAAGGGCAAAAAGGAAAGATTTCTGAGCTGCTTTTTAAAAGTGAAACTTTGGTCTTGCTGCCTCACGGCTGCAGGTGGTGCGAGATGAAGCGCCTCCAGGCTTAAAAAGTGTATATCATCATGTTTATCAGAACACCGCATCTGACAAGATGGGCCTCACATCCCGCAGGAGGGCTGGCTTTGATGCATTTGGGTCTCTTGCTGGGTTTCTACCTTTGTCTTATTTCGGCTTTGATCCCAGCAGCTCAGAGCGACTCCTGCTCACTGCTGATGGGATGAATGTCAGCATGACTGGCATCTACTTCAACCCAGAGAGGGAAGAATGTGCCGCTAATGAGATAATGCACCAAAGCAGCATCTGACTCGTGTCTATCCATTTTATTTTCTGCATAAACGAGATTAGCAGTGTTGCTTTCCTGACCGGGAGCGTCGGTAGGAGTTGTTGGTGCTTCTGGTCCTTGTTCCTGAGAAGCTGTGCAGCGGTCGGTAGGACAGGTGAGCTGCAAACAGGCAGCTTGTTTATTCCCTAAATAAACAGCAGCAGTGGTGAATGTGACCGAGTGACGTGTACTTTCCAGTAGGTCTTAAGACTCTTTTATTATCTCGGACACATGAAGGAAATGATTATTCTTTAAGCCACATGTGCAAACATTAGCATTGGTGCCCTCTGAGGGAGCGGCTGGTCAAACACGCTGATTACAGCAGCACAATGACACACCGTCCTTGGACTGAACCTTCACTAGAAGGTGCTCGTTTCACTCCAAACCTTGTCAAGCTGGATTCTTTTAGACACCTTTTAAAGCTGAAATAATCCTTTTTTTTATCGAGGTGGTCATCGTGTGGTTGTGCAGCTGCGTCGTGTTTCCATGAAGTCAGATTTATTTCACTGCGTGTGTTTCTGACGCTCGTCTAATAAACCAGGATTCATTCAGCTTCATTTCATGGTGGTTCTTGTGTGTTGGCTCGCCGGGTCGAGGATAAGACCTCGACCACAGCACCAGTTCATTCCAGTCACAAACAGATGGAAAATGAAAACCTGCAACCAGGAGGGAGGCTTGTAGCTAAAAAATGAATCGAAATGAAGGAAAACGAACATTCTGAGTGAAACCCTTTGATGTTCTTACTTCATGAGAGGTGTTGGGGGAAGAACTCGGTCACTCTGTCTACAGAACACCAGGCATGAGGCTGCCACTGGAAACATCACCCCAGAAAACAACCACTACCTCTGAAATGCTGTTTTCAGTGAAGCAGTCCTTCTGGTTGTTCTGATGGATTATCCATTTTAATGACAGTGTGCAGGTGGTTAGCATCGTCGCCTCACAGCTAGAAGGTCGCCGGTTGGCGTCCCGGTGAGGACACCCGGGATCTTCCTGCGTGGAGTCTCCATGTTCTCCCCGTGCAGCGTGGGTTCTCTCTGGGTTCTCCGGCTTCCTCCCACAGTCCAGAAACATGCTGAGGTTAATTGGTGATTGTAAATTGTCCGTAGGTGTGAATGTGAGTGTGCTTGGTTGTCTGTCTCTAAGTGTAGCCCTGTGATAGACTGGTTACCTGTCCAGGTGAACCTGCCTTCACCCTGAGTCAGCTGGGATAGACTCCACCCCCCTAGTGAGGATTAAGTGGTGTATAGATGATGGATGTGTGCATCTCCCTGCATGTAAACTTGTCATTATTTGGGGGAAACAGCGACCATCCTTCATTTAACCCGACCGAGATGACGGTGATTGGTGTAAAGAAGTGAATCCTCGTGCAGCAGAGATGATGTGGTGCATCCAGACCGTTATGTTGTACAGACCAGGCTCTAGCACCTCAACAGTGTTTAATGTTGCCGCTGCGGTCGTCCTGAGAGGCGTCCACCGCCGTCATCCCCTGAACCTGTCTGTCTCTGTGTTTCAGGAGGGGCTGGTTCCCTTCGTCCTACTGCCGAGCTCTCTCCGAGCCACTCGTGAACAACAACAGGTAAGCAGACTCCACATTCCCGTTAGCAGCAGGTCTCATGTTGCAGCCAGCTGTACTGCTGGCAGTGTTTCCTCCAGTTACTGCTGCTGGACCCATAACCCTGTAAATCCTGCCGGGACTCTCCCGTTCCTCAGCCTCTGATTCCTGGTGTCCTTCAGTCAAATCCTGCCTTCAGCCTCCTCAATCAGCTTGTTTCTTTAATCACTACAGTCATGTGTTGTCCTACAACAGTATAATGTGACACCTGTTCTTGGATTCCTGATGAAGCTTCACTCATATGTTATATAACATCATATAATAAATCATATAATACTGTACAGTCCTCACAATTCTGTTTCTAAATGTGGACGTTTCACACGAGCCCAGCAGAATATGAGGAAACAGGATGTTGTGTGCTGATGAATAGATTTTGCTGCTGCTGATGAGAGAGAAGGTTCAGAGAGTCGACTGCAGGCTTTTCTTCAAAGAGACTAATCCCTGTCGGATTAATTTATTAGATCTTAATGTGCTGCACCTCCCACAGAGAGGCTGCTGGCCAACTACTAGCAGCCACAGAAACACTAAGTTTAAACTATAACCAGCGCCGGGGGACACAACAACGTGCACACACATCCTGGTCCTTTTGTCCTTTTCAGGAACTTCCTTTAATCCTAATTTCAACATCATCCCTATAAGCCCGACATCAACTCCAGGATTACCCTAAACCTGGTTCTCAGCCTCAAACTGCTCCTGAGGATGAAGAAACAGGAGTTTCATGTAATTACTTTAATTATGATGCCACTCCTCTCCTCCTGCTTCATCGTTTCTTCTCCTTCCTTTGTTTTTCTGCTTCCTGTTCCTGCCCCTCCACAGCGAGCCTGCCGTCCCGTACCGCAGCAGAAGTGTGGTCAACCTGCATCACCAGGACACGGAGACCGACGAGGCCACCATGGTGCTGCCGCCGGCCGACTACTGCGACCTCTCGCCACGCAACACCGTCAAGACCAACACCGTCACCACCATCAGCAACCACCATCACTCCCCGACGCCCTCGGCTGCCTCATCCTCCTTGTCCGATCACAACACGGTCAGTCAGCGCGGGTCATTCATCTGACTTGAGTCCAGGTTTTGTAAGAGTTAACCCCATAAATGATGGTTCTAAGAAACACAGTCAGCCCAGGTCAACCTGCTGCCGTCTGCCAGACCTTCCTGCTGTCATGGCCTCGTGATGCGACTGGCATCGCCGTGATGCGACTGGCATCGCCGTGATGTGACTGGCATCGCCGTGATGTGACTGGCATCACGAGTTCACGTCTCACCTGATACCTGCTGCAGCGTTGCTACTGTACCTCAGTGTGCAGCCTTATCTGGGCTCCTGGAGGTGGTGTCAGATGAGCTCTTTATGTGTCTTCTGGAAACCTGACCATGTTCGGCTCACGTAGGCAATAAAAAATCGATTATTGGGACTCGGGGACAGTGTCACACGGACAGACTAGTGTCTGTTTTTGGTATTTGCACCCACTGCTGGCTCATTTAGGCTGTAGCGTCATGTTTTATGTGTTAGATGAAGTCATACCCTTTAAGTTTCTACTAAAATAGACACCAAATATCAGATTTTGAGCAACACACAAAGCAGGGATTTTCTCTGAAGCTCAAGCTATTTATGACACGAAAGTCATAAATATCAACAAGTTATGCAACAAGCGGGCGAATGAAGCAGCATGAAGGACAGCATTAATTCACTTGTGTCAGTCAAAAGGGATTTAAATTGATTAGAAGGCAATAGCGTACCTAATTTCTTTGCTTCTGCGGATGTTCCGCGTATGTGGAGCATGATAATTAGAAGCTGGTAGTTTTGGGACCTCGTATGGTGTGAAATTGATCTTTAGTTGAATAAAATGTGATGCTGTAGCCTCCACTGCCAGCCAACAGTCTCATATACAGAATATAACAGTGTTCTAAAGCCAGTTATGAACCTGAGGGCTGACTGATGAACAGTGATAAAGAGGTTCAGGAATAGAGGGAGAAGATGAATAAAAACTACATCACTGTAATCCGCAACCAATAAAGAGGTTGATGGAACAATATGCATCCTGCAGTTCTGCGTAATGCGCGCCTGGTTTCTATAAAAAAACAAAAAGTCCAGTTTTACATTGAAGGACTCAGTTCGTTGTTTTTATAAAAGCACAATTTGTCCCCAAACTAGAAACCAAGGTATTTAGAGTGAATTCTGGTTCATCTGATGTTAAAGGTAGGAGTATTTACTTCAGTGTAAATCAACGTTTAGTTCTGAGTTAATTTAAGATCAGTTAAAGTTTCCTGAACAGCATGAAAACCACACATACATGTATGTTTTGAATCAGAAGGTATTTCTACATATAAAATATTGCATTTCCTGGTCTTAACATCTGAATCACTATAACTATAAATGAAAGTGGTCCTAAAGTAGCACCCTGTGGCACACCGCGCTCATAAAGCTACACTGGAGCTATTGGCTACAACGGCTTATTTTCAACTTTTTTTGTCAAATCCAATTTTTTTTAAGCATCTCAAAGGAGAGCGATAGTCTGCAGTGTTAGTGATGTTGTATGGATCAATAAATACAGCGACACAGTCCTGCTTAGTGTCCGATAATATCAGGAATAGAGTTTGATTTGTGGCAAAGTTGGTCTTTAGAGTAACTTAGCAGCTGTAGGTGTTAATGCATGTGGGGCCCGACTTTCCCCACATGAGCCGATTCATGCTTTGAGGAAGTCAACAGAAACTTTAATCTAAAAACTGTCGTATTATCCAAACATGCAGGATTTATGCTCATATGCTTTTATGGGATGGAGACACAAACCAAGTAGCTCACAGCTGTAACATCTGTTCTTGTTGCTGTGGTCCCTGGTGTCTGATGATGGGTCTCTGGAGAATCTGCTCCAGTCAGAGGCAGGACCTCTGGGATGGACGTGAGAACGTAAAGGTCAACCTGGGCGACATCATGACGAGTCCAGCAGCTCCTTCACGTTTGCATACGATGCAAAGCTGTAGGCAAACGTTGTGGTTTTCCTTCTACGAAAGCTTTCTGGTTCCCCTCTGCTGGATGGATGTAAATGCGTTGCGGTACATCAGGGTCAGATGCACACGGCCTGTTTACGATTACACAACCTCTGCACAGACTGCTTCACGCTGCTTTTCTGAACTCTGCGGCGTTTTTGTGTCCGTCAGCCTGGTGGGATGTTGCTCACGTTTGTTCTTATTCATGCTTGTTGTGCAGAATGTGCACCACCCTGGCATCACAGTCACCAACTCCTCGCTCCTGCTAACAAATTCAACTGAGCGCGCTCCTGATTTACATTAATTTCCTTAAGATTGTTACATCACGTATCAAACTTTGTCCTGAAGTTCCTCACTTTTTGCATGATCGACCTACTTCACAACTCTCTAACTGGGTCACACTTCACAAACATTTGTTTATTTTTGCATCTTTCCATCCTTAATATACTCGCAGCAGATCCAGCGAGAAGGAAACAGTGAAGCTACAGCGACAAAACAAGCTCAGAGCCGCTGCTGGTTCTGCTGGTTTGTGATGTTTGACCCAGTTAGAGGTTCGTCGGTCAGATGGCACATGGAGATACTTTCCTCTTTCTGGCCTGTATTCATTATTTACCGCTCATTTGGTCCTCGGCCACAGTAGTAGAGACAGTAGCTGGCGAGGGCGCCCGCTGCCAGGCCTGTCAGTCCACATCCGCCGGCGGTCTCCATCGCTGGCTCGGCTTTATGCTGGAATTCCACTCTGGGTGAACCTGACACCAGCCTCCCCTCTTTGTCACTCTCTCCTCATTCTTCCAGTCGCTCTTGTTTGTGTGTTTATCTCGACATCTGAACGCTCGTACCGCTGCCTCCACTTCCTGGACAAACAAGGGTCACTTCCAGGGAACTTTATTCCTTCCGTGTGACTCACGAAGCCCTGCAGTAACTGTCCTCACAACACAGACGTATGCACACATCCCAGAATAGCCTCGCGTGTGGGAAAAAGTTCTCCACGGCTACAGTAGATTATAATACTCCGGTTTATGTGTGTGAGTGGGCGGCTGAGCTTGTGTGTTGGTGTGCGCACATGTTTGTGCACGTGTATTTGGTTAGTTAGCAACTTGTGGCTGCAGTTTTCACGAGTACTGCTGCCATAATGATGTGTGCTGTGCAGGTAATTAGCTCTGAGTGCATATGGAGGAGTGGGCTTCCAGCAGAAGGGCTTTAACTTCTACAGTTCTTTCACTTGCTCTGTGTGAAGCACCTGACTGGAATGTGTATCAGCAAAGCCTTGGTCTGTCGGTGGTGCAGGTTGGTCCAGACGAGTCGAGATGAGAGAGCAGGAAGTGGAGCAGAGAGCCGGGGGAGGTGGGGTTACCCTGGAATGCTCCGTCATCGTGAGAAAAAATGCACCCTCACTGGTTTTAGTGCTGCATGTGAAGGATGAGATAACAAGTCACAGGAATGAGTGTATTCAGAGGACACAGAGAGACAGTGGTTTGAGAGATGGACAACGATAAAGGGGAAGAGGGTTAAGAGCAGTATCGGTAAAAAGGAAAGAAGCTTTGGTGATACTTGGCAGAGGTGGAGACTGGGCTGCTGTCGGATGAATTAAACTGCAGCCAGAGTTTGATTAAAGCAAATGTTGTTTGGAGAATAAACATCCTCTTAAATAAAGAGTTTCTGATCCAATATCTGTCAGAGGAGCACAGACGTGAGCCGTCAGGATCCTGTGGGAACCCTTTGGTCACTACTCGACCGTACCTCGGTCCAGTCCTGACCTCTGGTGGAGCTCTGCTGTACTGCAGGCTGGATCCAGAGCAGCTTGTTTCCACAAAGAGAAGCAATTTGGGTTCCGTTTTTTTGTCTTGCGAGCAGGTTTACAGTCCGTCTGCTGTGTGCACATCAGAGCTGCTTTGTGATAGCTGGTAAATATTGTTCTGGTGAGCAGCACATTCAGATTCTGGTCAAGTCTAGGTTTTGGTATCACCAACAGTAAATGAAAGCAAGATAAGACATTTTTCACGCTGTAGCAGAACAAAGTCATCTTGACACTGATGGAAACACACTCAGGTTCTTGTGTGTTTTAATATGTGTGTCTACACGTATAAGCTGACTTCAGTTTTGTGTTTTCTCTCATGCAGAGTCACAAACTTAAGATGCTGTCATTATAAATCCAGGTGTGGGTGATCACTTCCTTTTATTGTGGATCCTTTTAAGCCTTACATGCTTCTCTACGTGGGTTGCAAAGTGTCATGAAATTGTTGTGGTTATTTTTGTTGTAATGACCTCGGGAGAAGCAGCGACTGCACCGCTGACGTTTAAAGAGCATCCAAGTAAATAAATTTGGCTTTTAATCTGCAAAAATATGTAAATGTTTGCTCTTTTGAAATAAATTATCTTTCACTGTTAAAAGCAGCGAATGCCTCGAGCGAACTGCAGGGGACACGTCGACATCCAGACAGCTGCACTCGCTTTGACTTGTCAAAACTTTTTGCACTCGACTTGAATTTCCAGAAGATCCAGGTTCCACGTGCCGTCTCGTGACGTGACGCAGCACGTTGTTTTCCCGCGCTCCGGCCCGTCCAGCGTGTCCGATCCCTCAGCAGCCACATACGTGTGTGTTGGGTTAACGAGCACGTCACACACACATGTAAACGCATCAGCGGCTGTAAATGTGGTGACTGAGAGCAGATGTGTCCTCGTGTAACTGCATTACCGTTGGCCTTGTGACTCACCGTGTCTGCTTCCTCCACAGGCCGTCCAGCCCAACGGCGTCACAAGACCTCCTCCTGCCTACCTCGCGTAAGTCCAGCACCGGTACCACGATTTGATTTGCTTCTCACACACTTGAGCTCATCGGCGGTTTTGTGCTCTGACAGGGGAGGGAACCCGTTCGCCACGGTCCGGCTACGTCCCACCGTCACCAACGACCGCTCTGCGCCGGCCATCTGACCCGTCCACATTTCTACACGCCTCGTTTCTGCTTGTCCAGCTTCCTTCATCCGCCAGCAGCGTCTGGACGGAGCTCGACAAAAACTGGGCTCTGGGGGGGAAACATGCCATTTGATCTGGATCCCCTTCCTGCTCCGGTCTCCTACATGAAAGGACTTTGGGACCGTTTTATTTACCGAACAGATGCTCATATATTTATGATATATATATAATGTCTATTTTTGTCCCCCCGTCTGTGGTGGTGAGATTTAAAAGCCCACATTCTTACCTGCACTTATAGAGATATAGATGAATAAAAACGGTCTAAGAAAAATCCCGACGTATTTATGCTGTTGATGTCGCTTCACTGTCAGAATGACTGTTAGAAATCTTTTCTGTTGCCACAGGACAGCAGAAGAACGTAGAGGACGTCTGCATTTCACCTTCAGGTCCTCGCGACGATGTTTCTGCTCACGTTGTCGACTGGAGAGACTTAAAGAGACGAATCCAAAAAGGCACAGAGGGATCTTTGTCCTCCTGTACATACATTTGCACAGCCGATGCTGTCCTCTGCCATCCAGCTTAACGTCTCGTAGTGTGGAAACAGGAGTTCTGCCTTAATGACACAGACACACCTGCTGTAACATACCTGCTGCATCTTTAACACATGAGCTGCAGTCGCTCCCGTTTCAGACCCAACACGTGGCGAGTCCAGTGTACGCTCGGTTTTTTTGGCCTTTGGCCCACGTTACACCCTTGGTAGAATTTGCTGTATGAAAAATAAAGATTTATTTCTTCAGTTTGACGTTCACTTTGTCATCCACACAGTGCATCACTGACCTCACGATGCGTTCATTAGTTTGGACAAAAGGAAGCAAGACGTCCACAACATGAGTAGCATTCATTTTTAATTACAGTAACTCATATATAAAAAGTAAGAATCTCAATCATAACAGCGTGCGTAGTGTGTTTTCTAAAGCAAGATTCTTTTTTGAAAGCCCTCCCATCCAGTTCTATCTCCTTCTCTTCTGCCGTTGACAGTTTTAGAACATCTTGATGTGATGGAAGACGTAGACACGGAGATACAGCAGATACGAGGACACATTCTGGCTTGATTGTCTGGCTGGGAGGATCGGGGCAGGTTGACTTGTCACAGAAGGTAAAAATCCAGAGATTATACACATTATTGAGAGATTTCTTCAGCATGCTTCCTACAAGTTCAACTCATTAAAGGAGGAGTCTGCGCTTTGACACCAGAGTTCTCTGAAAGTGAGCACGAGACCAAACAGTGGTTGAGGTTGTAAAGTCGAGGGCGTTTCAGATTGTTTGTACCTGAGGTCTGCATCGGCCCTGGAAAAGCACAACCCAGCAGAAGAATCATCAGACGAACGGTCAGTGCAAATATGGCCCCAAGAAATAAATCGACAAAAACAGACAAACGCTTTCCTGCCTCACACAGCTTCAGCTGGACAGTCCGAGGACCTCCACACGTCTTTCTGAACCGGTTCTACGTGTTGCTCCGTGTGACACAACGAACCAAAAACAGGAACAAAACGATTAGAAAAAAAAACAAGGCTTGCATTTCCTAAAAACTAATTCAAAAGTGATCTGAGCATGATATTACTAAGCACAATGTTATCCAAGAGCAGGTGACCCAGCATATACAAAAAGGAGGGAGCGAGCTGAGGCCAGGAGCTCTACGGGCCTCGGCTCGACCCGACAAAACACGAAGGAATCTGCTCAGACCAGCGGATCACTGAGCTAAACCTAGAGAAGAAGTCATGACTGGTGGATGATCATCACGCAGCATGTAGTGAAGGCACTGACGACAGCTGGACAGATGCAAGAACGTTTCCTCAGCGAGCAGAAGTAGATTTCTACACGTGCCTCAAACAAAAACTCACATGGTAATATCTAGATCGTTGGTTGTACAGCAATGTGCAATATTAAGAAAAGATTACAAAATAAAAGACACAGACATGGTGGGTCGAGTGTGTGTGTGTGTGTGTGTGTGTGTGTAGAAGCGTGTGCAGCAGCTGTAGTTTGGTCCCTCTAGCCGAAGGTGGCGCCACAGTTGGGACACCTTCTCTGACGCAGAGCAAAGCAGAACAGGATGCCCAGAGGGAAGAAGAAGATGGCACAGAGGATCCCCAGGCAGGTGAAGTCATCCTCCAGGACGCCCACTCTGCACAGAACAGCAGGAAGCAGAGTCACATGAAGCTCAGAGTCCTCCCACAGAGGAGCCGTCCAGAACATCTGGACCCGACTCCGACCCTCTGAACTCACCGTGTTGGGCCTCTGCAGTAACGACCCAAAGCAGTCAAAACTCACATTAGAACGTCATAAATCATAAAACAGGAAAACTAAAGTTGATTTTCTTTGATTGATGATTCTACAAAGACCTGAATCCGGTCCCCTCATTACGACCTTATTGTTAGATTCTGAGTTTTTCACTGGAGTCAAATTCCGTGTTTGCGGTTCGATTCTGATTCGGATCAACATGTCCAGGTGCCCACAGGTGCTTCCAGTGGTGCTGAAGAGAAACCTGGCTCCACATGTTCCAGATGTTTCCATCCCGTCTCCTACACGGGCTGCAGGCTACAGGTGAGGAGAGCAGAACTCTGTGTTCTGGTTGGAACACAGAGTGCAGAACGTTCTTAAATAAGACGTGTAGAATAAATAGATCCAATATTTGGGTTTGGTGAAGTTTTACTGCCAGAACAGCGTCACAGAGTTAGAAGGAAGAAAGTCGACTCTTTCTGATAACTGGTGCAGTTTTTACACGTTTCTAAGCTGCCGACAGGTTCTGAGGAATAAAACAACTCAAAGACATCTGAATAACACATCGTACCGCATGAAGACAAACTAGAATTAAAAGCCTTTTTGTTTTTAAAAAAACAAAAGAGGACGCCGCGTCTGATTCCCAGCAGGTTATTCAACACCTGTGGAACGTGAGCGGCCGACGCCCTGCTGGTGCCGGAGCGCCACCTGAGGACGGAGAACATGGAGGTCTGAGGCCGTCATCAGCGGCTTCATGATGAGAGAAGGGATTTCAAAACCAGCAACGAACAATTAAAATCACTACAACAGAACTACAAGGCCAGAATGGAGACGTGTGCTCATGTCCTCCAGTTCTTCTAAGAACATCTGGTGTGCTGGCTGCAGGCGGCTGACACACTTCTGGAAATAATGACAATAATCTAAGTGTCCTGATACAAAAGCATCGATCAGAGTTTGTGCACAACTGAATAAACACAAAGGTTTATTCTTCTTGGCAATCCTCCTGATTTGATAAAATGCTTAATAAAGTCTGAATCACAGAGTCCTTCCAGAGGTGTGGCTGCATTTTAAAGTCTGGATGATATCATCAGTATCTGTGACTCTGGGTCCAAACTCTATAAACTAAAGTCCAGCTCTCATAAATGCCTAAAAACTCCTCTCTGTGTGTCAGAGTTTATCTGTAGAGTTTTTCCCATTAAAACAAAATGCATGAATCCTGCATTAAAGAGGCTTCGATGCAGATCTCTGCAGACGTCTCTGGATCCGGAGCTTCACGTCTCTGACCTCCAGCCGCCGGCCTCACCGACCCCCAGAACACTTAGATTCAGATCTACTGTTCTGTTTTGTTGCTGCTCTCCATCTGCTATCCTGTCCCACCCCATCCCCACTCCCACCCAACCGGTCCAGGCAGATGGCCGTCCTCCCTGAGCCTGGTTCTGCCGGAGGTTTTCTCCCAGGGTTTTGGTTCCGTCCCACCGTTGCCAACCACTTGCTCAGAGGGAGTCCAGAGGCTGCTCTGGCTTGTTGGGTTCTCTGTTAAACCTGTGAGGTCCATACCTGACTACGCTAAGCGCTGTGCGATGACGTGTTGTAAACCACGCTATGCAAATAAAATTGAATTGAATTAAATCTGTTTGAACTGTAGAACTACTGATAAACACATGAATGATGCAGAAGGTCCGGATCGGTTCCTGTTCAGGTCCATGTTCAGTTCTAAACCCCACAAGTCTGAATCTGACTTTTTAAGGTGGAAATTCTGTTGTTTGACAACATTATAATGTTAACGAGGTAAAAAACTAGATTTCAGGACGTGACTGGAGCTGGAGGACCTGATGTGGGACGGAGGTGGGCTCTGCTGGATCCATCTCTGAGCAGGTTCATGCAGCAAAGCAGCAGTTTGGAACCAGAAGGTTTAGTGACGGCAGCTTGAACGACCTCCGCTGTCGCCTGTTTGACTTGAAATAATGCAGCTGCTGTTTTCACTCTCCTTCACTTCCATGAAATCGTCTGTAAAACGCTAAAAGCTACATAAAGATGAATGAATGTGGACGAGCGGCTGATGCTGGACTTTCAGCAGCGAATCCTGAGGCTGGTCAGTAATTTAAACAAAGTGAGAGGTTTTGTAGGAGCGTCTGTGTGAACAGTCACTCTGAAATACGAATAATAAACGTTATTAATAAAGCTAATTATTCTCATTATATTATTTAACAGTGTGTAGATGGATCCAGTCTGAACAATGTGCACGTGTCCCTTCAAATGGCCTCTAGTTAAAATAAATAATAATAAGAACAAGAAGAAGAATGGTTTATAGTTTTAATCAATCCAAACATTTCCTCTGCATGTGCTTTTAAGAGTTAGTGATTTTTTTTTAGTTTTTTAATTAACTGTCGTTTCCGCTGCTGCTGTTCTTCTAAAGTGAACATTTATCTGAATATTATCGTCTATATTCTGACATTTTCTGCGACTAACCATCAACAACACACCGAGTCTGAACTTGTTCTAAAAACGAAAAAAAGGAACCAAAGCGCTGCGATTTCTTCACTCATTTTGTTCACATTTATAATAAAGCAAGCTCAGACCAGGACTTTAAAAAAACAAAACAAAAAGCTTTTAACATTCCAGAAACAAAGAACCAGAACAAAAGACTGGACTAGTTGCTCCTGTCCACCCTACTGGAGGGCAACAGCCGCCTAGAAGCGTCCGACCTGCACCAAGATGTGATTTGGCTCCTGCTGCCGTAATTTAAAGATTTAAAGTAAAGAGAGAAAAGAGCAGCAGGTTGTTTAGCAGGAGGGACTCTGAGCAGCTCTAATCCGGGCTGACAGTAAACACGACGCTAACGGTGGTCTCGTGACGGCACCGTGTGGAGCAGCGAGGCAGGAATTAGGAATTAGGCAGCGCAAGGCATCAACCTGGACTCAAACCCTGGAAATAAAAGCTCCTTTGGAAAGCGCTGAGTCATAGCTATGGGTGTGTTGTTGGCAGGGGGTTGGTTAAACAGAAATAATCCTGATGAATGGACTCTAATTACCACCTTCATAGCTCATTCTGTGATGCAGAACTGGATTTAACTCTCTGGTGTTGTTCTCATAATAAAGCTGGTTTCGTTTGGGTCGACACTCGGTGCTGCAGGTTACAGCTTCTGTGCACTCTGGTTTCAGGAGCCGCCAGCGACCCGGTGAGGACCAGAACCGAACCAACTCAGGTCCGTTAGAAACACAGGGCTGATATGGAGTACTCTGTAGGGGGAACAAACTGAGCTGAATAACAGACGAGTGTTGACATGACGTCCAGTCAGTGCTGCTGTTAAATTAATTAAACCAGTTTCTGGGTGTTTCTCTGCTCCCATCACACGTGGACTCATTTCTCAGCGCTGCCCTCTGTTATGGAGCCGTGAGAGCACCAGATGACAAAAATAAATCT